CTTGTATCATTTTTTATTCAACGCTAAGCCTAATTTAAGCATTGTTTACAGATTTACAGGTTAAGCAGGTTTCTAGAGTTGCACAGCAGCAAGGTATTTTATGCCTAACGTCCATTATGCCTAACGTCTTTATTGTATTTTTATTGTAATGTATTACTCATCGAAATTAAAATTTAGCAGATGTGGCAGAGGAAGCAACAACAATACTTAATATTATATGCATATAATTATTATACAGGTACCCTTATTAGACTAGATGCTACCAACGATCAATGATTTATAAATAACAAAACTTGTTTATTTTTTATAGTTTTGTATTTCACTACATATATTATATAAATTATATGTATATTGCATGATATACTATTACTATTAGTTCAATATTTCAGTTTACCCAAGCAAGTCATCGAAATTCATATGATGCTGATGAAGCAGAGAAAATAACAACATTAAATAATATTATTTGTATATAATTATTAAGCAGGTTATTTCTCGTCACGTTAGTTATTTATCACAATTTTTAGCATTATTGTTAGTATCATTCGAGCAAAATATATTTAATTGCTTAATATATCCTATACATTTCAGTGTTGCATCCACCTGCCCTTGTGAGCTGACGAGGTATAGAACTGCATCTTATTTTATGTAAAATACTTTTTCTTGCAGTAGCAACTATATTATCCATTATATGTAAATGTATTTCATTATGTCATATTTTAATGTTCTGATATATTTCATTTCTCCATTGCATATATTTTCATTATATAAATAAATACTGGGTTGGAAGGGAGCATCAGGGTATAATTCAAACTGAAACTGGACGATGGTATGATTGACAGCCGGAGTATAGGAGGGAATAAACACTATCATTTTCTTTATCCTACCGATTCGATTGTGGTGGTGTGAATTCTACTCCAACAGTTTCAGGGCGATTGACGCGCCCTTCTTAACAAACTATCCAGTAGAAAGCTTAATAAGTATTGCGAATTGTGTTATTCGATTTGTTGGAGCGTATCGTTGGAAGGAGATTCTTAAATTCCCGTGGATTTCGCGTAAGTGTCTCTGCTTACGGGTCCGCCCTTCCGTTTTTGGCCCTTCATACAGCGATATTGTGAATTCAGATCGGTAGCTCAAATTGATCTTGCTATTAAGTGGAGCTGCATACAAGACAAGTCTTGAAGGGATGGTGGCTACCTTACATACATACATACATATACGTCCATTATGCCTAACGTATATTATGCCTAACGTCCATTATGCCTAATGACTTTATGCCTAACGTCCATTATGCCTAACGTCCGTATGCCTAACGTCCGTATGCCTAACGTATTTATGCCTAATGGGGTACACTCATTTGCAATGCTTTTCTTCATCAACGTGCATGTGCATAGATTCGGCAGAAATTCTCGCACAATTAAACTTTTACACACCTTGTCGATATCTTAGAACATGGAATTTATTTTCTGAAAAATCGTACAGAACAAACTATGCAAAAAAATAGCCCAATCAATGGAATGATGCGCCTGTATAATTTGCATTGCAGAACTATTGACATCACTATGTCCAAGCAGCAAATAAAAACTAAGCTAAAACAGAATAGAATTAATACATAGTATGTAAGTAAACGTTGTAATAATTGTAACGTTCCGTTCTGTTCCTTAAAGCAAACGGCTTAAGCGCCACTTTCCAAAAGAAGGACCGTTAACTCCGTTCAAATACCCGGCATGAGACTACCCCTTCAAAGCAGGCCAAACAGTCATCTCAGAACTGATGTTTCTCTTGAACCCAACCGATACGAGCAAACTAACCAAACTATTGTAAAGGCACGGTAATCTAAAGGCAAATGAACTCCAAAATTGAATGGTAGCAAAGTGTCTCAGCTAAAAGAACAAACAACTCCGACAATGTTCAGCATTTAACGACCACGATCTGGTAAAGTTAAAACTAAACTCGAAATATTAAAAAGATTCAAAACATTTATTCGCAACAAAAGAAATCAATCAAAAAGTTGAATTTAAGGAGTTGCACAAAGGCCTAATATTCTAATTTTATTCAAAGTTCGATTCCTAATTTTCTTGATCAGGGTAAACCTAGCTTTTGCATTTAGCTAAGTGAGCTACAATTGTCCTAAGGACTTAAACAAACAAGGACTAATAACTTCTGACCTTATTCTTCCAGGCATTGGACCAACGGCGGGTGTTCTCGGGCGTCTTTCCAGCGTTGGAAGATGTTCGTCGACAAACAGGCAGGCTTCAGGCAGCGAAATCGGTTTGCACGCGAAAGACCAACTCCACGCAGAAAAAACACTGAGGCGTAAATTAACAAAATATTTTGTTGTTATTTAATACGACATTTCTATTTGTTTCAGTTCACTAAAAAGATTCAAATTAATGCAAAAGTTCATTTAAATCAAACCAATAAAATTGTTTAAAACTAAACAATTTTTAAGTGCACGTTTCAAACTGTCAGCCTGTATCGACATCGATGCTATCTAATTAAAAAGTTCCTCCTTATGGAAAAGCTGCCTTCAAACTTTGATTTTCAAAATTAATTTTTAGTTTTAAAAATAATCTCGATTAATAAAGTTTCTCGACAAGTAATCTATTAACTTGCATTTGAAATTTCAGCGCTGACGTGCGATAGGGCGAAATAAGGCTACACTGTTGATCATCGACAGATTCGTTCATTGGCACTGTATATATGCAGTATGTACTCCCCTCGGTACCCCCTGTGCCTCACCGAACTTCGAGGAACAGAATCTAGCCAACCTCAACCTACGTCTAGTTCCGGAGATTCAACAGAACCATCCTTTGTTGAAGCAGCATCGTCACCATCAGCAGCTCAGTGGCAGCCGAGGTAGCAGCAGAATCGCTTCAAAATTACCATCAACAAAAACAAATCGACATCATGGTGCACATCAAGGCACACAAGGACAACACGTTCTACAACTCATTCACGCAGCAAATGGTGCAACGGAATAGGCTAATTGGTAAATAAATAAATAAATAAATAAACAGTGGCTCAATAAATAACTTGTCTTAAACCAGAATTGAAAAATATTGGTTCATGTTTCAAAAAAGACTAGCTAACCTAACCTGGGGATTTAAATAAATTTGATTCTGAAACAATAAAAATTACGTTTCAAGACAACTAACAACGTTAATTGTTCTTTAAGGGTATTTAGGTAAGTTCAAATTCGTAATCTGCATTAGAAATGGAACCCAAACCCAAAATTTTATCAATTTTGGTACACTGGAACTATTTCAAATAAGAACGGTTACATTTGCAAAAATCACCCTATTATCGCCCCTCGGTGTCACTTTGTATGGGAGCGAGCTGTCAGCTTGTCAGTTTAGTGTCAAACAGTGAAGTTATTATTTTGCTTTAAATCTTGATTTAAAAATCGAGATGAAAGTGTGTGGGTTCGAAAAAAATATCGCTGTGCTCAGAAAATGAAGTTCTTTCAGATGATATATAAAAACCGATATATTTTTCAAAATTAAAGAACCCAATTACTTTAAATAATGCTTCAAGTTGATGCAAACAAACATTGTTTTGAATCAATAAAAACCGATGTTTCAGTCAATAAACATTGAAGTATTATTTCAACTAAATGTTTTGTTGAATTACTCCATCAATTTTATTGATCCATATTCAATTCAAAATTTTGTTAAAAATGAAACGAATTTTGTTTGGTTGAACTATGTTTTTTTCTGCGTGTCGTGCGTGTGCGATAATCATCGGGGTATATGCGTCCCCGGAATTTGGTGGAGTCAGAGCTTTTTGTTGCGTCGCTCGGCGCCACACGACTTGACGAAACGAGTTGTAACGGTGGTGTCGCAGAGAAATTCACCACTAGCAAACGATCGGATTTTGATCGTCGGAGAACCGATTGTGGACGGTTGGCGTCCTCGCTATGGACGGTGGGAAATTCCACCCCCAGATAACCTGCCACGTTGATTGGACCTGACGTGCCTAAACAACGCAGTGAATCCTTATTTGGCTGACGAATTCTAATTGATATCACTGAGGCTTACCAATTAACAACAATCAATACGAAACTAACGATTTTAAATTGGCTCACTACTTGACTACATTCGAGTTCGGGACATCGTTGTTGCCTATAGCAACCGCGTACGCGCTCGGAATATTGTTGTGTTTTGGTGGTATTTCGCGATCGATTGATTCAAAAACGCCACCCGCAGCTAGTGTTAACTAGTGACAAACATTCAAATCCGATCATTATCGGTGAAAATTTGGGTGATAATAGTGCGATAAAAGTGCCTCACCGCGTGGTTACAGTGGAAACAACAAACGGCCATCGCGTCGTTCGACGGTTGTGTAGTGTGGTCCATTGAGGTTTCTTTGCTGTGTGACCCGAGTGGCAAGAGGTACACAAGAGTGAACAAATCGATTTTTTCGGTTTTTGGTGAAAAGTTTTTCACTGAAAAGGGAAGTGACGGGAGTGATTTCGCTTTGTAGGCGTGACATTGAAGGAGCGTAAGGTAGGAAAATCTTTTGTTTTTCTTTATTTTACCGTCTCTGGGGTAAACAACGGGTGACCGTTGTTACTTTTTACCTTTTTCCAACGTCCGCCGTGTAAGCACGAGAAAGTGGTAGAGTAGTGTAAGGCGATAATGACGGCCGCTAGTAGCGGCGACCCTGGAGGGTCAAGGGAACAATGGTCAAGGTTAGGAAATTCAACGCGTGAATTTGGTGCACTGTCATACCTTCTGTTAACCAGTAAGGATACAGAAAAACCTTTAAAGTCGGATCCTTTCATTGTTGGAAAGTCGGTAGAAGATGCTGCAGGAGGGTCAATTGAAGGAGCATCGACAGAAGCTCAAGGAATTCGATACACGCTCAGAGTTAGAAATCAAGTCCAGGTTAATAAGCTGCTTAAGTTGTCCACTCTTTTGGATGGTACTGAGGTCGTCGTTCAGTTGCATCCCAACTTGAATGTGAGCCGTTGCGTTATTTCGTGCTTTGAGGCGATCCGCATGGAGGAGAAGGACGTCCTACTTGGTCTCATTAGCCAGGGGGTCATCCGAGTCCAGCGAATCACTCGCAAAGAGCACGGTAAACCAGTCAACACGTCAGCCCTGATCCTTACGTTTAACAGGAGTTACTTCCCGTCGCATGTTAAAATTGGTGTCCTCCGTGTCGCTACCCGTCCGTACTACCCTAATCCTCTCTAGTGCTATGGTTGTGTCCGATACGGCCATCCCCGTGTGCGATGTCCTGGTCCGAAACGTTGCCTTAACTGTTCTGCCGATCATGAACTGGCGGAGGATGAACAGTGTGCAGCAGCTGCCCACTGCATCAATTGTGGTGGACCTCATCGTCCGAACAACCGTCAATGCCCGGTTTATAAGAAGGAAGTGGAAGTGATCCGTCTAAAAGTGGATCATAATCTGACGTACCCTGAAGCACGCAAGCGAGTCGAAACAGGGACAGGAAGTTACGCCGCAGCTGCAGCCCAGCAGACTGCCGACCGGAAAAAATTGGAGGAACTGGAAAAGAAAATGGAGGAGAAAGACGCCCAAATTGCTCAGCTTCTTGAAGTGATGAAGAAGAAGGGCGAAAAGATCGACAAATTATTGGGACACATTAAACTGATTCGAACACCGCAAGTTCAACAAACCCCGCTAGCTCAGCCGAGTAAACCGATCCATCCTTCTGAAAGTCAATCGAACCAAGCAATCGATTCGAACCTGCATTCTCAACTCATGAGAAAATCCGGAGAATCGCAGATAGGCGCACCGTCGATGCATCTCAGAAGTAGATCGCCAGCGACAACGGAATCTAAACACAACAAGAAGAAGAAAAGGCATGACAGAAACAACAACACCTCACCCGGCCGACAAAGCCCACCGCTGAAGAAGCCCGTTGAAAAAACACCGACATCCGACCAGGAAACGATAAGCGTCGACGAGGATGAGATCGAAGAGACGCCCCCTAGTCAGCATCTTCGATAAGATTCATTCCTCCAAACGTTTACCGACCAGCAATACTTACCGGACATGCGAAACGGACAACGACATCGATCGTCTTGAAGAGAGGGAAAGTGTAGTACCCCCTTCACTCTCACAGGAGAGAGCGCAGCAAGCTGGAGGATCCGTCCGGGACGTCTTACCCCAACCCGTTGATGGAGAATCCCCCTCTGCGGTCGATTATGAAACATTAGAGCAACATACCACTTACCTACCTACCATAATACCACCTCGATATCACTCGCTTACATCCAATACACCCATATGGCCATTTTCCAACGAAAGCAGCCGTCGGCATGTAGTGCCAATCGAAAATCCACCGTCAGCCAACACTAGCTACCACAACATTGTGAGTGCCACCGGCACTATTATTCCTAGTAACCGGTTCAGGAATTTTTCCGCCGGTGAAGTTCGTCGTCAACAGCAAATTCGAGATGCATCTCCACCGTCAGCATTACTGCAACAGACAGTATTCCGAAATCGGTGTGGGGAGGGAGAGCGTGAAGTAACCTCTCCCCTTCCCATGAGGGAAGTGGATGTCCAGGGGGATGAGAGTGGGACCAGTCACGAGTGTCTCACACCCTCTGTTTCCTCCTGGAATCCGGCCGATATGTCAAGGCCAACGCGTAAACCGTCAACATCCTCTTCGTCATCAGCAACAGTCAGCAGTAGTCATCCCACGAAATGTATTGCCCTCCAGTGGAACATACGTGGTCTACGTGCCAACATCAGCGAGCTCAAATTGCTCATCAGCCAGCATGAACCGTCCGTTATAGCGCTGCAAGAGACGAAAGTGGATAATCGTGTGGTCGCGCCAGACTTTGCCGGCAAGAACTACACCCTGCTTCTTCAAACCGGTAGTCGTCGGTACTGGCAGCAAGGAGTGGGCCTTGCCATCCGTGAAGGGGTTCCATTCGAGCGCATCGATATCAATTGTGATATTCAAGCCATTGCAGTTCGCATCCATCTTCCGACGCCGATGACGTTAGTGTCGATCTACATATCTCCGAACTCCCAGCAACAGTGCCAAACAGAACTAAATTATTTCTTGGACCGTCTGCCCCCGCCAATGTTGGTACTTGGCGACTTCAATGCTCACCATCCCGCCTGGGGTTCTACGGCATCGAATGCGCTTGGCCGCTACATCGCTGAAAAGACACTCACGGAGCATCTGATAATCCTGAATGACGGATCACACACGCGGGTGGATCCAGCAAACGGTTCGTTTTCTGCCATAGATTTTCGATCTGTTCAGAGGTGCTAGCTCCCAGATTTATCTGGCGAACACTTCCGGATACCCACAGCAGCGACCACTTTCCAATCACCGTCTCTTCACCTGAATTCTCACAGATCGCCACGAAGCGAAGAAGATGGCTCTACGACCAAGCAGATTGGACATTGTTCGAACGACTGACTTCCAGCAGCATCAACCCGCATGACGAGATTGGCGTTGATGAGTTCGTAGATCGGATATTATCAGCAGCAACCGCTAGCATTCCTCGAACATCAGGACGAGTTGGTTCCAAATCGGTACCATGGTGGTGCCCGGAAGTGAAAACGACGATTAAGCAGCGTCGAAAACTTCTGAGAGCACTGAAGCGCAGCAGAATAGCAGGATCGGACACAGCGAATGTTTTGAAGCAGTTCCAGGAAGCGAAGGCAGCGGCTAAGAAGGCAGTGAAGGAAGCTAAGGAACATTCGTGGGAGGACTTTGTCGGAAAAATATCACCTAGCAGCACAACGGCAGAAATGTGGCGGACGATGAACACCCGACGAGAGGCAAACGACAATACAGCAAGGCGGTTATCAAGCGACCCGATTTCTACACGGAGAAGGTGGAAGAAATAGCAGAAGAACTGGCCGAGCACTACTGTGAGAGATCAGCAACCTCAAGCTATCCCCAACTGTTTCAAACAGCGAAGGAAAAAGCGGAACGGGATCGCGTAGATTTTCTTCCGGACAACGACGAGATATATAACGCGGACTTCACCATGGATGAGCTTCTGTGGGCACTCGACAAAGGACGTAGTGTCTCTACAGGTCCTGACTCGGTAGGGTATCCGATGATCCGACGTCTGCCTGTATCCGTCAAAATCGCGCTGTTGCAGCTTCTAAACAGAATCTGGCGTAGTGGCGTTTACCCTATCAGCTGGCGAACCGGAATAACAGTGCCGATTCCGAAGCCAAACTGTTCTGAATCTGGACCTGCTGCTTTCCGACCTATCACTTTGACCAACTGCATCGCAAAGGTGTTCGAACGTATCGTGAACCGCACATTGACGACTGAGTTGGAGTCGAATGGACGACTGGATAAGAGGCAGCACGCCTTTAGAGCTGGGAGAGGCATCGACACATACTTGGCGGAGTTGGATAGGTCATTGCCAAATCGGAACGAACACTGCTTGATTGCATCGCTTGATCTGTCGAAAGCGTACGACACCACTTGGCGGTACGGTATCTTGCGTACTCTGCGTAATTGGCAGATGTGTGGGCGCATGTTCAACGTACTGAACAGTTTCCTCACCGACAGATCTTTCCGGGTGAACGTGGAAGAACATTTATCGGGTGAAATGCCATTGGAGAACGGAGTCCCCCAAAGATCAGTGTTGTCTGTCACGTTATTCCTTATAGCGATGCAGCCGATTTTCAGAGTGGTGCCACATACTGTTGCCGTGCTTCTCTATGCGGACGATATTTTGCTGGTGGTAAGGAGGAGTAAGGAGCGTCCTATGTATAGAGATCTAAAGGCTGCAGTGAAAGCTGTCGACAAATGGGCGAAAAGCGTCGGCTTCAAAACTTCCGCGACAAAATCAAAAAATTTCTACGGCAGTCCCAACGCCCGTCGAGAACCCAGCAACGATATATTCATCGACCGTACAGCTATACCGAGGACGAATCAACTGAAAGTTGTTGGCGTCAACCTTGACCGGTCGCTGTCCTTCAAACACCATTGCAAGGTAGTCAAAAACACGTGCGACTCTAGACTGCGGATCTTGAAGATGATCGAGGCTAAACTTCCGCGAGGGCAACGCGATTCTCTGTTGGGTATCGGATCAGCAATCGTCACGTCGCGACTTATCTACGGTATCGGGCTCGTCAGTAGAGCGAAGGATTCGGTGGTGCAGACTCTTGCACCCATCTACAACCGGATGGTCCGGTTCGCCTCAGGGGCGTACGTCACCAGTCCGATTCCAGCGATTATGGCTGAAGCAGGCACTTTGCCATTCGATTTAATGATTATGCAAGCCATAATTCGTGCTGCAATTCGTTTGATGGAGAAGGATTCCAGGAATATCGATCTTCCAGTTGTGGAACGATCGTCTGATCGCCTGGCGACGATTGATGTAGAGCTTCCAAACATCGCTGTACGAACACGTCTAGCCAACCGAGAGTGGTATGAACCCAAGCCGCATATTGTTTGGGATGTGAAACGGAAGGTGAAAGCTGGGGACCCCCCGAATACAGTGCGTCCCATCGTGCAGGAGTTGCTGACTAACCGGTTTAGCCGTGCTTTGGCTGTTTATACGAATGGTTTGAAATGCGAGAACATAGTTGGAGCAGGTGTATTTAGTAGCAGCATTCAGCAAGCAATAGGCCTTCCGTCACAATGTAGCGTTTTTTCGGCGGAGGCCTTTGCAATCAAGTCGGCCGTCATCGCTGCAAGAGCATCAACCGAATGTGTTATAATTCTATCTGATTCGGCCAGCTGTCTTTCGGCCATAGAGAGTGGTAGATCGCAGCATCCGTGGATCCAGGAAATCGAGCGCTTACTACGTGGACGGCCGATCCACCTTTGTTGGATCCCTGGCCATGCCGGAATTCACGGTAACGAAGAAGCAGACCGTCTAGCCAGTGAGGCACGAAACAGTACACCAATCAACGTTGCCGTACCAAGAATTGATTCCATCAAAAACATGAACCAAGTCTTTCGTCAGCTATGGGAAGCACGTTGAGCACAATTAACAGATGTGAAGCTGAAGGAGGTCAAAAGGGAAACGAAGAAGTGGATCGATCAGTACAGCTCTGCCGATCAACGCATACTCACTCGTCTGCGCATTGGTCATACTAGCAACAATCAATACGAAACTAACGATTTTAAATTGGCTCACCACTTTAGTAGCCTATAGGTCCCAAGCAAACGTACCCTATTCTAGTTGAAATTCTATTACTAAACTATGTTTGTTTTGATTCGCTATGAAAGTTTGACAGATAACATCAGGGGTGTGTGGATTCATGCAGAACATGCAGAGGTGAGTGAAATAGCTTGGGACTGCTTGGGACCGTTGTTCTGGTACTGAGTGAGCCAAAAATAATAATTATTTTCTTCGGGACCCAGTGGTCTTAGAGTTACCTCTATGATACTAGGGTTACGCATAATTTTTTGCTGAAGAAAACAGCTCCGTCAGCATGTGAATGCTGTGGGACCGTTGTTGACGTTCGTCACATTATTCTGCACTGCAGAAAATTTGAAGCGGCCAGGACGAAATACGGAATCGATTCCACAAGCCTTTTTACGGCGTTACGCAACGACGATGATTATGAGAAGCGGTTGCTGAAGTTTCTGCATGAAACCAAACTTTATCGGAAGCTTTGAAGGGTGAAGATAGAATGGAAAGGAAAATGCAGGATATAGGAAGAAAACGAAGCGGAGGATGAAGAACAAGCAAGCGATGCAGAAGAAAAATGAAGTCTGAATGGAAGAAGATGTCGGACAGGAAATGGAAGAAGATGCAGTGGAAGAATGTAATCGATGAATGTTGGAAGCAAATGAGTTCATGAAGAAGATGCTGAATGGAAATCGAAGAAGATAATGTGAAAAAGGATGAAGATGAAGCAGAAAACGAAAGTACTACAGAAGACATGAATGAGTATGAAGATGCAGAAGAATGAAGATAAATATGAGGCGCAAGGAAGGAACGGAGAAATCGAAAAATAATGTGGAAAAGATATATGGAAGATCATGAAGAATGAAGATGGTGAATATA